AAAGGGTATTTTCACTGGATCTTATTAGTCCCGGTTCCGTGCGTCTGTGCGTCCGTGTATCCGTCCGGAGTCATATCTCAGAATCCCTCGGACCGATTCCGTTCATTCTTTGCATATGCCTAGTACTTTATGTGTGACATATGCACATCCAGTGGTTTAGCGATTCAATTCAAAATGGCAGCCCTCTTGTTTTTTGAAAATGTTGTATTTTGGACATGCTTTGTCAGTTTTCATTCAAACTTGGTACATAGATTATACTTGTTAGGATACATGTCCATGACGAAGTATTTCACAACTGGATCGAAGATGGCCGACTGGCAGCCATCTTGTTTTTTGAAAATGTTGTATTTTGGACATGCTTTGTCAGTTTTCATTCAAATTTAGTACATAGATCATACATGTTAGGATACATGTCCTCGACCGTCCATGAGTCCCTGAGTCTGTCCGTCCGTCCGTGTGTCCGTCCGTCCGTGTGTCAGTCTGTCCAGAGTCATATTTCAGAATCTTGTGGACCGATTCCGTTCATTCTTTGCATGTGCCTAGTACCTTATGTGGGACATATGCACATGCAATGGTTTAGTGATTCAATTCAAAATGGCCGACTGGCAGCCATCTTGTTTTTTGAAAATGTTGTATTTTGGACATGCTTTGTCAGTTGCCATTCAAACTTTGTACATAGATTATACATGTTAGGATACATGTCTATGGCAATTTATTTCGCAATTGGATCAAAGATGGTCGACTGGCAGGCATCTTGTTTTTTTTTATGCGGTATCTTGGACGTGCTCTGTCAGTTTTCATTCAAATTTGCCACATACATGTACTTTATCGATGTTAGGATGCATGTCCATGACAATTTGTTTCAAAATCTGGTCAAGGATGGCCGATTGACAGCCATTTGACTTTTTAGCCTTACTACTATATTTACACAATTTATGTACCATTTTCATTTGTATTTGGCACATACATCATATATATCAGTGTGTTTCATAATCAGATCAAAGATGGCCGAATAACGGCTGTTTTTATTTTTGGTCATATTAGTACACGTGTTTTCATGGAAATAAACAATCTGTTGTATACGCCACTTGGAACTCAAGTTTCAAGGACACGCTCGCGACAACCCCTTAGCTTTAATATGACGAGCACAAAGAGAACTTTCAAAAATTTTATATTTTTTCTCAATTTGAACAAATATGGCCGACTGGTGGCCATCTTGTTTTTCATGGTACCCATGCTACTTTATCTTGAATGCAATGAACGTTTCTGTTTAAATTTTGTACAAAGATAATATACCAAGAGATACATCTGCACCAACATTATTTTTGTGATTCAATTCAATATGGCTGGCCGACGCCCAATTTTCATGTAAAAGTGTTAAATCGTCATTTTTACTTGTCCGGAGCTGTTTCCCAGAGATGACTAGGCCAATTTGGATCAAAGTTGGTATGATGATTATACATATTGGGTTATAGTTGCATGTCATATTTTTTCTATGATTCAAACTAATATGGCTGACTGGTGTTTTTCGTGATACCCATGCCTACTTTCCCATGAATGCAATGAACACTTCTGTTTAAATTTTGTACAAAGACAGTATACCAATAGATACATCAACATGAACATTATTTTTGTAATTTGATTCAGTATGACTGCCCAATGTCCAATTCTCGTGTAAAAGCACTAAATCATAATTTTTTACAAATCCATCTCCTATTAATGGTTTCAATCTAATCTCAATGACTTCATCAGCATCAAATTGATATGTCAGATCACAAAATTTTGGACGGGGACTGTGTCATTAACAATGACTTGTTTTCACTGATTCATTCCTTTAGGAAAAATACCGAAAAAAAATTCCAAGTGAAAAAAAAGTTCTTTACAGTATATCAAATATATCAGGTTCTGCCACTTTTGTGGGGGACGATACGTTGCGGATATGGAAATGTAACGAAATATAGTATGCAAAATTATCTGCTACACAATCAGCACCAATCACCACAGAAGAACGACTTAAATGTAAAACTCAGAATTTATTCACTAACGGAAAACCCGCTGGCAATCCTGATGAACT